TGCACACACTCCCAACCGCCTGCTCCTCCAGAGCTGATCTCGTGCCTCTCAACACCACAGGTGTAGAGACTACCGATTCACCAATGCTCTCATCTCACGAGCTCTCATGCTTGGTAGGAGAGGTAAATCCCTCTCCATGCCCTTTTACTTTACTGTTTTTTTTGGCTGGTGCTAGGTTTGAACCAGCCACCTCCAGTATATGGGGCTAGCACCCTACTCCTTTGAACCGCACTGCCCCCTCTCCATGCCCTTTTCACCAAGGTGTTCCATTATTGAGCTATACAGGTATTTCTTATAACTCTCATTCCTCCTAGCCATAGGCTATACAGGCTGCTACAAGCATCCTTTGAAATTATAGTACCTCAAGTTTGAATGTAAAAATGTTCATTTTAAGTATCTACCTTCCCTCTATCTTCAACATACAGAACCTGTTTTATTGTACCAGATAATATCACTAATTGCACTTTTCCTGTGTTTAACAGCATCAGAGCTTTGCTAAAATCTAAACTAGTGCATGGATCTTACCACTGTGTTTGCCTTCTCCATTAACAAGAATTGTTAAGAATCCTCCTCTTCCTGTAAGAAAGAAGGAAACATCTCAATGAATGAACATTTTCTTTAAAAATCTAAATTTCCTTTATAAAAGGAAAACTTGGGAGGCTAAGTCAAGAGGATTGCTTTTCAGAGCTTTTCCTGAATCTGCTGATTCTCTAAATAATCTGTAGGCCAAGGAGGCATATTTGGCATATTCTGGTACCCTTCACCTGGAACTTGCTCTCAAACTCTATGAGTGAGATAATTCAAGTGCCTACCCTGCCCTCCTTCAATGTCATGAGTAAAGCCCTGCAACCCCCAAGTCTTAGGCACTGGGCTTTTCTTCTTCCTGGCCCATCCACCTTTTTCCATACACTGATTTTCCCACTCTGAGCCGTGGGACACAGCACAGGGCAAGACCCCTTAAACCTGATAGAATATAGCACACATCCAAGCTGCCTTTGCTCCAACACCCATTCACCTTTATTCAACACTTTGCATTCTCATTCCTCAACCATCATTACCATCATTCACTTAATCATTTCCATTTATTCAAAAATTATGTTAAGCATTTATTATGGACTGAGTCTGGGGGATACAGTGGTGAAAAAAAAAAACAGTAAAAGTCGATGTAGACCATGCCTTCATGAAACTTACAGCCTAATGAGGGTGCTGGATATTAACCAAATAGCCACATAATTAAATGTGTTTTCTGTGTATGTAGGCATGCAATACTTTGAGAGCATATAACAGGGAGTCTCTATTGGATTTGGGGGGAGTTTTTTGTGAGACAGAGTCTCACTTTGTCACCCTCAGTACAGGGCTGTGGCATAATAGTTCAGAGCAACCTCAAACTCCTGGGGTCAGGTGATCCTCTTGCCTTAGCCTCCCAAGTAGCTGGGACTACAGACGCCTATGACAACATCCAGCTATTTTCTAGAGACAGGGGTCTTCTTCTTGCCCAGGCTGGTCTCAAACTCCTGAGCTCTGGTGCTCTACCTGCTTCAGCCTCCCACAGTGCTAAGACTACAGGCGTGAGCCACCGCACCTGGCTGGGAGGTGGCTACTCTAACTTGAAACTGATACCAACCAGGTTCGTTCCACCTTGGTACACTAAGTCAATCACTGCAACAGTGGCTTTTTCAATAAAAAAGAAAGGGTTTATTCACAAGGCAACCAAACGAGGAGGCAGGAGAACAGATATCAAATCCACCTGCCTGAAAACAGGGCTTGGGAGTTCATATACCAACCAAGGTGGTCTAAAGCATGGGAAAGAGTGATTGGCAGGTAGGAGTTACCTTGGTTCCTGAGGTAATTGGTGTTACGCACAACCCTAATTGAGCTACTCTTAATAGGACAGATGTTCAGAAAATAGTGTCACTACAATGATTAGAGTTTTTTGTGCTCTGGCACCAAAGGTCACTCTTCAGGTATCCACATAGGGCCAGTTCCCAACCAGACTGAACTGGATAGGAGTTGCCCAGTTCCTGAAAAACAACTTTAAACAAGCTGTTGTTCCAGTGACCCACAGTCCAAGATGTTATCTGTAAGGAAGCCAGTGGGAGTTTAATTATGTAGTATTTGGCTATGTGAGTTTGAGCTATATCGGTTTTAAAGTCAACTGGAAGTAAGTGATTAAAAGCAAGAAAAGCAGGTGGGCTTGATCTGGTTAGCCCTCAGTTTCAAAATTATCAAAATAATATTAGAGTAGAATTGACTAAAGAGTGAGGAGGAACAGGTGTATCAGGCAGAAGAAACTGTGTGTGAATTGGCCCTGGTGTAGGAAGAATGTGAGGAAGAGTATGGCACATGGAGGAATGAAAAGGGGGCCATATGCTGGTGACTAGGGCATGAGAGGGGAGGGGAACAGGGTGAAGTAAGGCAATGACAAGGGCCAGACCACTCAGGGCCCTATAGGCCATGAGAAGGCACTGAAGGATTTTTAGCACAAGGGGTAAAACAGTAAGATTCTGATTTCAAGAATACCACTCTTGCTGCTATATAGAAAATAGATTTGGGATTGAAAAAACAGGGATGTCACAAAGCTACTGTGGCACTTTAAGCAATAAATATTGGAAGCCTGGACCAGGGAGGGGTATTATGTGTACATTACTGAAAGAAATGTGTGAACCATGAGCTATTTAGAAAGTAGAATTGAAGGATGTGGCAACGAGTTGTCTAGAAGAAGAGAGAAAAGTGTCAGATGATTTCAGGGAGGTGTGATAATTAAACTAGGTATGTGGGTAATCCTCACCAAGAAAGAGCAGGAAAGAGAGTTAGGTTTGTCTTGAGTTTTTGTTTTGTCTTGTATTTGAGCCATAGTGGTGGAAAGTTAGATGGTAAATTTGTTTGGGACATAAGTTTAAAGAGCCTTAGAGACATGCAAAGGGAGATTGTTAGGTAGGCAGTTACATTGAAAGGTCTGGAGCAATAATTCTAAAATCATGGGTGATTTTGTTTCCTTGTTTCTCCAGGGGACATTGGCCTATGTCTGGAGATATTTGGGGTTGTCACAATGAAGTTTATGGTCCACTGCCCTCTAATAGGAGGCTCTCAAACATCTTGCAATGTGCAAGACAAGCCCATCCCTCACAGCAAAGAATAATCCAACCCAAAATGTCAATAGTACCAAGGGTCAGAAACTCCGGTTTATAGGTATTTGGGAGTCATTGGCCAAAAGCCTTGGAAATTACTGAGATCACATACAGAAAGAATAAGGATAGGAGGAAAAGTGGGATTGTACAAATTTTTAAGACACTTTAATGCATAATGGCTGAACCAGTTTCTCAGCAGAAGGAATAGCTAAAGAAATAGGAAGAAAACTCAAAGAAAATGGAGTCACAGAAGATTGGGGGAGGGGGCGGTATTTAAAAAGTACCAGATGCTACTGAGAAGCCAAAGGAGGTGGAGGCTCCTCAGTTGCTGTCCATTCCATTTAGGGATGTGAAGGTCATAGGTAGCCTTAGCAAGAACAGGTTTGCTAGCATGAAATTGAGAAAAGACAATTGCAGTGGGTTAAAGAATGAGAAGAAAATGAGAAAATGGAGGCAGCTGAGCTTTTAGGAGTTTGGTAATGGAAGCAAGAAGAGAGAAAGCAAAGACCTGGCAAAGAACGTGGGGGTCGAGAACAGTGTGGAGTTCAGTGGAAATTTTTATTATTGTTTTAAGTTTTTATTGTGGACAATTTCTAACATATACGAAGGAAGCAGAATATTGTAATGGCCTTCTGTGTACCCTGGATTCTGTGGACTCTGGATTCTGTTTTATTTCTCAGATGAGTAATGTTTGTTCTAGGAGAGAGTTAATTTTGCTGGACTCAAATTCCAAACACTGCGTCTTCTAATCAGTGGCAGCTGAAACCTGAGCTTCCAGTTGTAGGTTTTCTTTGTTTCCTTGTTTTGTCTGTCCCTTGTGTGTTCATCGTTTAGTGTTCAGCCAATGATTTGGGCAGATTTAATACTCAGATTTGGGAGTCAATCCCTTTGCAGCACCTTCGCTTCTGGGATTTCCACACCAATGCCCCTTCACTTCCTCTCCCAGCCCACACTGTATTCTGTTACTTCAAGCTAGTAAGACTGGCTTTCTTCTGCCCTAACTTGCTTGCAGATTGGACTATAATCAGGCAAAAGGCTGCAGCAAACTTGAAAATCTCAAAAGATTTAATCCCTGTTTTCAGAGGTAGATTCCTTCTGCTTTCTGCCTGCATTTTGCTAACCCCCATGGCTTTAAAGCACATATGTACACATATACGCATATGTGCCTTCATGTATATAAGGCCAGTCCGGAAAGTATCCAGCCACTGTTAATATAATAAATGACTCTATTTTTCATAGTGCGTGGCTGGATACTTTCTGGACAGGCCTCATGTATATGTACATATTAATATATGTATTTAAGGGGATGTCTCATAACTGATACCACCCCTTTTCCCATCCCCCACTGCAAGGACCTCAACCCACACGTCCAAGTTCCAGTCACAGCCCCACGTCTCAATGTCCAGCCACTGTGGTGTAGTCTGCACTTGGGAGGAGGGACCTGGAAAAGAGGCCCCAACAGCCCCTGGAATCAGCTTTGGGGCCATTTGGTCAGAGAATTATGAGATCCTAGGAACCTGCTCTAGAGGAAGGAGGGAGGGTGTAGACTGGTGACCACAGGTTCCAGAGGGGGGCGCACCCCCCAGCCCCATGGACTCTTGGCTCTGTGGAGGGGAACAGTTGGAAGAAGGCCAGAGCAGGACCCTCTAAAACAGTGGTCCTCAACCTTCCGAATGCCATGGCCCTTTAATACAGTTCCTGTGGGTGGCAACCCACAGGTTGAGAACTGCTGCTCTAAAATGTTAGGACTTGGGACAGAGATCTCTCTTGCCTGGGTCTACGAGCAAAATAAGTGAACGCATACACAGAACTATGGTCTTCACTCCGTGCCTAGTCGGGTTTCTCTGTGTTCACGTGTTGTGTTTCTCCTAGGGGGCTCTTCATCACCATCCATGACAAAGGCCACATTGCGACAATGCTGAACTCCTGGCCAGAAGACAATATTAAGGTACAATCTTGTTCTTGTTGCTGTTTGGTGAATCCTTTCAGCCTGCATGAGTCACTTATGACTATAAAAGGAACCATTATGGCACCAAGAGCAACATACTTCCCCCACACTGTTCCTAGGCCCTGGCCATAGGCCTGTAGTAGCCAAGCACAAATGCACCCCAGAGCAGAGGTTTGCATCATGCAGTGAAATTGCCCTTTATTATTGTTGTTGTTGTTCGTCTGAAGATACGTTCAGCATACACTGAGTACCTGCTAACTAAACAGTCCAGACCTATACTGTCTTCTCAATTAGCTGAGATGTCATGAGGAGAATAAGACAGAGACATGAAAGATTAACAAGGTGGAAATGGACCAGAGATCAATGAGGGGTACAGAAGGAGCCTGGGGTATTCAGAGAGGCAGAGGTGACATTCAGGCTGATGGATCTGGGTTGACCTCATGGGGAAAGTGACATTAGAGCTGGACCTTGAACTGAGGGGTAGAATTTGGGCAGTTGGGCACTGGGGAGACCACGCTGCTGGGGAAGAACACTCTGAACCAAGCGGAAAGGTGAATAATATCTTCACACTTGGGTATGTGTCCCCTGAGTGTACACAACTGGGGGCGGGGGGGTATAAACACACAGTGCCAGAATAAACCTAGCACTTCTTCCTGGAGTATAAATTTTACTCAAAAAAATTAGGGAGAAAACATTTTTGTGTAACAAACAGGATATAATAGTCGTGTTAATTTTTAAATATAAAACATGCAACTTAGTAGTAGAAATGGATTAGCCTTGGGCTAAATCCCCAGACCTCCTCCTGCTAGAGGGACTTCTGTGGAAGAGTTGGAGGGGCCATGGCATCTAAGATCATTGTCATTTTTGGAAACAAAATAGGTAAAGCAAAAATGCAAAACATCTGGCTACTCAGTGAGGGCATTTGGGGGCACATGAGCCAGGGTGGGATTGGAGCTGACCAAATACAGTACAGAGAACTCTCAGGGCCAATGCTCACACCACCTGCCTCCACTGGGAGGCTGTGGGACTCTCCCACTGTTTTCTCTCCAGGACCTCCCTCTCTCCTTTCCCGCCAGTTTCCTGAGCTCTCCCATCCTTCTCCACCAGGCACCAAATACAGCTTTTTCCTGCCTCCCTCCCTTTGTGTACCACACACTTCTGGCCCTTTCTGGGGTATGTTAGTATTTAGAATCAGCAATGGGGGGCGGGATCCAGCCTTTGGCTCTGAGGAGCCAGGCCTGAGCCACAGCCAAGGTCCCTGGACTCCAGTCCTGGCTCCTTCCATGCACTACTGTCTGGGTGTCATTTTGCTGTGTGCCTCTTCCTGCTTCTTCGCCTAGACTCCAGTTATGTGTAGGCCTTGGGCCTGGAGGTTTTGGCCCCAGTCCCAGAGAAACATCTTTCCAGGGTGTGTCTAGGATGAATCTACAATAAAATCTCAAGAATGTTAAGGGAAGCCAGCTTACTGATAGGGAGCGAAGTACAGGCTAACCTGAGTGGACACTCTGCTGAGGTCCTGCAAACGGACCTTTTCCACATTCCTGGATGTTTCGAATGTGAAAAAAACGTGTGCATAGTAGGCACTCAATACATGCTGCTGAGTTGAATGAACCCAGGTAAGCAACATGCTGAGCAGCCCCCATGTTCTGACACTGTGCCATGAGCAGCGAGATGAGGCCTCCACTAACAAATACAGTGCCTTGTGCAAGTGGCAAGGAATTAGAAAGAATGGTGAAAGGTACTCCTCTTTAATCAGTAATAGAAGAAGGAACCCTTTCCTCCAAGCTGGCACAGGGGTTGGGGCTGACGGGCTGGGTTTCATGTTTTTGTCACTCCTCTTGCCAGAGCACAATTTAACACAACATCCCTGCTGTAAGGGACGTAAAAGGAGAAAAACATGGACGGACCTGGCCCCCAGATGGCTTCATGTCACGCTTGGGAAACCAAGATATGAATTCAAAATAAAACCTTAGGAGTTAATATTCATCAACATCAATAAACATATTTTGAAAACCTTCTAAATACTGAAGGGTAATTATCAGAGTGATGGAGAAAGCAATTGCTATGATTTTAGAGGAAGGGAACCAAGGGTTTGGGGTCACCAGGAAGAGGCGGAGCTTGAGCAAGCCTCACAGAGTCAGAGACATTCAGGCTGTCGAGGAGAGGGTAAGTTGCATGAGCAGATGTGGGCATCTACTTCAGCTGCATTGAACCATCATTTGGTAAACATCTGCTCTGTAATAGTTCCCTGGGAGTTTAGGGATAAGGAGGTGTATGGGTCCAAAGTCAAGTGAGTTTGAAGTCCAATGAGAGAAACAGACCCAGGAACAGTGACAGTGCACTGTGCCTATACTACCAAAGAGCGGAACCCAAGGGATGAGGAGCAAACAGGTGACTGGCTGCCCATCTGCCCTGTGGTACCCCAGAGGGAACAGACAAATGCCTCCTCCACCCTTTATTTCTGCCTCAATTTGGAGAAACCTGAATGCCAGCGATGACAGGTCAGCCCCACTTTGCAGACAGACAGACCCAGGTTGTGGTCTGAGTCTTCCATTTACCTGCTATGTGTGCAGAGATAACCTCTCTGAGATTGCTTTCTTATGGTGAGGTAAAGTCTGTGCACATCAAGTGGACATTGTCATTATGAAGGTGGCGGAGGCGGCTATAGCACATACAACAGTACAGGGCCCGAGGGCAGCCATGGAGGGGACTCCGCTACTTGGAACCAGAGGCCAAAAGGCAGCAGGCAGACACTTTGGCCCCTGGACATAATTTATGTGGCCCTCAAGGCCTTCCATTTCAACTTTTTGAAAATGTTGAGTTTGTAGAAAACATTTTAAAATAAGAAAATTTCATTAAAAATACAAAAGATATAAAAAAATGTATACACATTTTAAGAAAGGAAATAACTATTGAAATTGTAATACTCAGGCCATGTTTAACTTCCGCGGTTGTAAGAGATGCAGATGCAATATACAAGACAACAAATGTTATTGGTATATATTGAATATTGCAATTAGAATACAGTTTTTTTTCCCCTTCTTAAAATGTGCATACATTTTTTTTGACACCCTCTGGATGTGTAAGAATCAAAATACTTGTATTTCTGACTTTTCTGAAAAAAACAGCATCTCTGAGCAGTGGGCCGATAATTTGACATGTGAAGAAGTCCATAGGACTGATTGGACGGCCCTGGTTTACCCACTCCCTACCTACCCCACTCACTGGCCTCCTCCCAGCCACAGGGTACCTTTTTGGAGGTTTGGAATGTTCCAAGCCCAAGTCTTTCTTATATCCTAATGTGTTTTGTACAGTTGCTCTAAAAAGAAGGGAAGAAAAATCTCCCTACCAAGGTAGAGAATATCTACTGATCACTCCCATTCTGGCCCTTTGGAGCTAATCTTCACCTTCACTATTTCATTTGATTCTCATAGTCACTGTGCTCAGAGTGGAGCAAAGACTTCTCCTGATACCCCCAGAGATGAGTCTTGAAGAGTGGAGTATCTTTTCTCAGATGAGCAAGTTAAGGTTAAGTGACTTGCTTGGGGTTACTCACAAATAAGAGCTGGTATCCAGCCCAGAGCCCTGCTTCTGAATCACCTCTTCCTGGCAGCTGAGTGAGCAGGCAGAGCTTTTCAAGGCACAGGTGTCTTTGGACCTTGATGTTGCAGGCTGCTTGGCTGGAGAGGAGGGGTGGTTCAGCTCCTGCATGAACTCAGAAGGTAAAAAATGATTTTCTATGGTTTCCCAGACAGAAAGAGCTAAAAACTGAGATGTCAGAAAAGTAGGCTAAGAGGAAAATGGAACCAACGCCCCAGGCTCGGGAGACTGAAGTTTCGTGGGCCCTTCTCGTGCAGGAAGGCGGGGGTGATTAGGTCAAGCTGCCCTGAGCTGTCCAGCATAAATCACACAGAGGACTGAGAACTGCTTTTCTGACTTTTTCCCACAGTGGCCATTGCCTGGAGCCGAGAGGAAAGCTTAGCTGGGAATAGCCCTCCTCCCCAGTGGGTTTCCCAAGCTCCTAAATCTCTCAGTTGTCCCAGTCCCAACAGCTTCAGGGAAGGAGGTGCTAAGAGGTAGCTGGGTGGTGGGGCCAAGGGATCATCCTCTGTCCCTGGGCACCAGCCACTTAGGTATTAAAACTCGGAACAGGCCTCGGCACCTATAGCTCAAGCAGCTAACATGCCAGCCACATACACCAGAGCTGGTGGGTTCAAATCCCATCCAGGCCTACCAAACAATGACCACTACAATCAAAAAATAGCTGGGCATTGTGATGGATGCCTGTAGTCCCAGCTACTCAGAGGCTGAGGCAAGAGAATCACTTAAGCCCAGGAGTTGGAGGTTGCTGTGAGCTGTGACCTCACAGCACCCTACCCAGGGCGCTTTCTCAAAAAAAAAAAAAAAAAAGGCTCAGCGCCTGTGGCTCAAGTGGCTAAGGCACCAGCCACATACACCTAAGGTGGTGGGTTCGAATCCAGCCCGGACCCGCCAAACAACAATGATGGCTGCAACCAAAAAAAAAAATAGCCGGGCATTGTGGCAGGCGACTGTGGTCCCAGCTACTTGGGAGGCTGAGGCAGGAGACTCGCTTGAGCCCAGGATTTGGAGGTTGCTGTGAGCTGTGAAGCCATAGCACTCTACCCAGGGGGATAGCTTGAGGCTCTGTCTCAAAAAAAAACCCAAAAACTCGGGACAGATTGCCAGTGCCAGGTGCCTACCTATAATGCACAGGCCCACCGAGTATTAGAGCCAGGTTAGAATCTGTGCTCAGGGTCACAAGCTAGGTTTCCTAGGAAATAGTACCTGGGCGAAAAAATAGCATGTTAGGGAGTGGTCTTGGGTCATACCTGTGGGAGGAAAGGGAGAAGGATGAACAGAGGGAGAGGTTGGGCTGTAGTGTGGTCTCCAGGAAGACTCAACCGAGCCCATGAGGCAGCCCTGGAACTGGCATGGCCCTTCAGAGTCTTTCCGAGGTCGGGCCAGGGAGCAGCCTTTGG